ACGCACTAGTTCATCAACGGATGTTGGTAGATTTGCCCAATCCACCTGAATTTATCAATGTCACACTTGTACAACCGAACGGAGCTGAAACAAGTGGAGAAAAATGGCCTTCTGCGGCAAATTTGGAACATGAGTTCGAAGTAAATTCTCGTGGAATCCGTCACAAACGACGCGTTATCATTCCGATAGGACTTCTTCCAGCCAAGGTCGACACTTGCTATGTTAAATTCTCTCATCTGAACGCTAAGATCGAGAAGCAGTATCAATACATCATGCACGCAGTCGATCTCGCCCTCGTTCAAACGGTTTGGAAAGCTCAAAGTGCAACTCTAAAAAGAGTTGCGTTATTACTAGAGGGTTCACAGCCGAAACCTGTTTGGGCATTCGAACATCTTTACGTCGGAACCACGCGCGTCCAGACTGCCGACGGACTTCGTTGTCTCCCTCTCACATCTTCGTATAATCGGAACAAGCTACTTAGCTTACGTCCCAACATCTACACAGTCAAGTGGTTGATGAGCATCGACGAAAACGGTTTCTGGAAAGCAAGAGAATAATGGAATTCATTACCGTACATAATAAGAGAAAAAATATATTATTACTTAGTAGTTTTTAACCTTTTCAGAAAAACAAAAGGTCCTCCCAGCCTAACGCAACGCACCCTTGTTACTTGTTATTATTTTCTACCGTATTTTCTGTTTCCGAACTCTGTCCCGGACCCCGTCGTAGCTGCGACAATAATGGAGGTTAAGCACGTTTGATGTATGGCGTTTGATGTATGGATGTGCAAATGGAAAGTGACTGGCTACCTACTGCTTCCACACTTTGCTTCTACAGCTTCTCCGGGGTTTAGCGCCTTAGAGCAACGCCAACGGGATTATCCTGTTAATATAACCACTTGTGCTAACAGGTGGTGTTCGGTGATGAGTTCATCTCGGTAGAAGTTCGCAAAGTTGATGACGATCCATTTGAGAAGAAGTGTGAATATTCGGTACTTACTTGCTAGGTCGCTCGACGGTGAAAATCACGATAGATTTTGTCCCAGAGCCTTGGGCTACAATACACCCTGAAAATAAAGGCCTAGATCCTGCAGGTGCACAACGCGTAATACTTGTACTCAGAACGTGTACGCAGGGCCTTATTTGACCTAGTATTGATTAATACTTTCTCCGGGACCGAAGTATTTCAGATATTCACGTCTGTTTTTAAACTATGCGGCGCCTATTTTCACTGCTGTATTTAGGCAGCAATTCAGAATCCTTCGTCGATCCTAAATTTTAGCATGCCTATAGGTTTACCGTAGGCAAACGCGGATTTATATTCAGCGGCAAACGTGGGTTTAGAAGCCGATTTAGAGTTGCCGTTGGTGTGGCACTTTGCATATAATTGTGCGGTTGATGAGGATTATTATTACTGGCTCAGATTTTCTCAATTTAAAGTGTTAAAATTGCAATAAACTAACAAACACATTGCAAACAGGGACGTTATCCTACAAATATTAACTTAATCGGCAAAATATCTACCTTTTAATTTATTCTTCAATATTGTTGTGCAAGTTTGAATCGCAAAGGCAGTTTCTTGATACTGTTGGTGCCAAGTATGTAAGGGAAATTCCGCTTAAAATATTCTTAAAGATTGTTTGGTCTGCTTTGGCGACAATCAGTCAATCTGAAAACTATTTTTTTTT